TAAATAACTTTACTACCTACAAACTTTACTTAAATATATAAAGATCTTTTTATTTATTAATATAATAATATATATTATATAGAAACTGTAGCAGTATTTGTATGCTACATTAAATTATTAATTACCAAAATAAGAAAGTGGCTATTTGATTACCTCAACAAATTAACTCACCTGACAACTGTAATATTATATTGATATGTATGCATTTATTAGTTCATAACAGGGACTAGAACCGTACCGAAATTGACCAGTTTTGGACCGAAATCTTTTTAAAATCTTAGGACCGGAACAATAAAATATATTTTTTTAAGAAAAGAAACCGAAACCTATATTTTGATGTAGAGGTTTTTCCGGAAAATGCAATAGATATCTGTGGTGAAAATAGGTAATAACTAATAACTAATTATTAGTAATAATAAATAATTATAAAGTCGTAGACCTAAATTTTGGCGTAATGACGTCGAGGAAGGTGACTCGGTAGTCGGATTGCTTACGAAATGTTTTGAATTTTTTTTCACATAATTCATAACTTAATTTTGCGTTGTCAGTGACTGTAATGGACGCTGTCCAGGCCGCACGTTGCCTACCCGGATAACATAGATGACTGACCTGCTAGACAACAAAAAATCAGACGGTGGCTATATGATTTGCACGGACGCCCGAAATAATTTGAATTTTCTTCACGTAATTTATCCTTTAATTCTGCGTTTTCGGTAACAGTAATGAACGTCGTCCGCGATTCGACGCAGTCGGATTGCATACGTGATGACGTGCCCCAGCCGTCGAATATTGTCGGGCTGCCTTCCAGCTTGACTACGACCAAAGTCGAGGAACGTGACTTTATATTATTTTTTATATTAGATTTTCATAATCATGGTAGGTTCTGCGTTATGATTCTATGTGCTGTAACGTCGAGTAAGGCGACCGACCTGGTAGACACCTAAACTAAAGGGCAGCTATAAAACTCGGCCGTCGCACATTGTCATATATCCTAGAAGTTTTACTAAGGCGGACGTCATTCGAGTTGACTGACCTGGTAGAGAGGAAAAAAATCGCGGCAACAATATGTTTTTTTACGGGATTTCGGATTTCCGGGGGCATTCGGCAAACGTTGTCGGCGAACGTTGTTGCTTACACGGGCTACCACGTGGAACCACGGTGGTGCAAATCTCATGACACAACGACCGGCAAGAGACCGACGACCAGATGATATTTTTACTTAATTATGCGTTTTCGGTGACAGTAATGAACGGTGTCCGCGATTCGACGCAGTCGGATTGCATACGTGATGACGTGACACGCGGCCATCACACATTATCCGACACCCACAAAAATACGAACAACGTCGAGGAAGGTGACTGACCTGCTAGACCCCAAAACATATTTTCACGTAAATTATATAGCCGATGACACGAACCGGTCGTCACGTTGTCTACCTCCAACATCGTGTCGGTTGCCTCCAAGGATAACATAGATGGGTGACCTGCTAGACACCAAAATCAGACGGGGGCTATATGATTTGCACGGACGCCCGAAATATTTTGAATTTTCTTCACGTAATTTATTCTTTAATTTTGCGTTTTCAAGGGTGACTACGACCAAAGTCGAGGAACGTGACTGACCCGCTAGACCCCAAATACTATTACTACGGCGAACGTCATTCTAGGTGACCGAACTGCTAGACACCCACAAAAATTACTATATTATTTTTTTACCAAATTTCGAATTTCTGGCGGCGTTGTCGAAAAGACTCTGCCCTGGCTGCCACGGGCTATCACGTCGAACCACAGTGGTCCTAGCCTTATCACACATCCTTATCACCATACCTCCTCATCACCCATACACCGTGTCGGCTGAGACCCACGACCGCACCATGAGACCACCGCTGCTTCCGAAATCGACAACACTCGGGGCCCGGTCACGGGGGTCTGGGGGTGTCCCCCAGCGACGCTCGGAGAGCTAGTCTTACTATATAAAACGTCTCTTATATTATAAAACGAGGTTAGTCCCCAGTTTTGTCCACGGGGATAGACGACTTTTGTGTCGTTTTTCCGGCCCGGCCGCGTATTAACATAGAACAATATAGAAGCGACACTCGATCAGCTGATGGGTGAAGTGTTTACCTATGATCTGAAGTCCGAACATTCAAACTGTTTCCGTTTACCAACATGATGTTATACCCGTATTGAAAAACCGTCTCCGATTAATAGGCAGGGTATTCTGCGCGGGGTCGGGTTGTTTCCAGCATAGAAAAATTGTTTCCACTGCTTACTGTAACGTATGCCACGCCCCTTTAGAGACCATTTTCAAGGCCACAATCGCCCGATCCGACCAATTCACGGAGTGTCGTACCCCTGGTATTAACAATACCTACTCGAAACTAGCCACGATATTAAATCCGCGCTTCTGATAGGCCTATTTGAATTACGCGCGAAATTATTATTATTATTTACCACTGATAACTGTCAGATAAAATAATTGAAAATATGTTTATTAGGTAATATTGAAATAAAATAAAAGAACAACTTTATTACAAACACTCAAGGCTGGGCAAGTTAATGTTTTTTTTTGACTCGTTAAGTTAAGTTATTTTAAAATAATTAAGTTCAGTTAAGTTAAAAGTTACTCGTATTTTTTATCGTTAACTCGTTAAGTTAAAAGTTAACTTTGAAAAAAAAGTAACTTAACTTAGTGTTAAGTTAAAATTTGCTAATTTGCAAAAATAGAAAATACCAGACACATAATGTGGTTTATTAGATAGTTTTTCTTTACGTCTAAGAAAATTACTGGGGAAATTTAAAATGATACATCAAAGTAAAAACACATTAAAAAATTTACATTATTCTTCAGAAGAAAATTAACTTAATTTGGATATTTTTGAAATAAAATTAACTTGAAGCTAACACGTTAATCTTGAAAAAAAGTAACTTATTAAGTTAAAAGTTAATTTGAAAAAAAAAGTAACGAGTTAATTAACTTAATTAAAATTAACTTAACGTTTTAACTTAATTTTAATTTTTAACTCGTTAATGCCCAGCCTTGCTGAAACACTCACATTTTACATAATATGCACAATATATCTACTCAAATATTATATCTTAAATTAATATTAATTTTTTAGGTATAGTGACACAATAGATCTATTCTATATTTCTATAGTTTACTTACAAAAAGAAAAACCAGATTTGTATGAAAAGTTAGACTTCATGAATGTAGGTATGATCTTATAATGAGAATTTTTCAATAGTAAAAAAATACCTGGTTATATGAAAAGGAGTAGTTTCTTTTAGTTTATCGCAGTTTTTAAATACGATTGGTAGTTTAAAGGGTATTTATTATATTATACTACCATAAATTTATTGCATTTAAGAAAAAAATTTTACATACACTATACAAATAAAAATTATTTAAATGATTGTCTCCAAAAGCCAAGGCTTGTGGAGGAGACAACAGTTCTTATTTTAAGGTGTGTTTACAATTTTTAAGACAACTACGTTTAATTCTTATCAAACTATTTAACTTAAGTTTATACAAATAAATAAGTAATAATTAAACAATAAATTATAAAACAGGCACAATATTTAAGTACAGCAAAAATGTATGGATAGTTTTATAAACAAGTTTTCATCTTATACTTAATATACTTTTTGTAACGTTCATAATCTTTATAAAATAATAATTGTTTAATTGGTATATCGTACTTCAAACATAAATGTATACCTATATTAAAGGGATCTTTATTCCCAAATTCCGTATTATATTTATTTAATCTAAAAACATTGTATCTATTTTGAAGAGTAGAATAATTAAGGTTGAAATTGACACTTTCAAATTTATAAAAATATAGATTTGTTAGTACTTCTTTTGCATGAGATTTCTCCAAATTTAATATACCATAAGTATTATATAGTATATCAGTATTCGAATGATAGGGTTTCTTAAAAGCTATCCTTAGTAGTGAGTTTATAGAAGTTCTGAGCAAACATAAATATTTATCGAAGGTACCACCCTATACACAAATTCCCTTATGTATATAGTGATTGTGCAATTGCACAAAAAACCATTTTCATATTGTTAGGTGATAAAATATTATTTAATGCTTTAAATCTATCAAACATCCTTCTTAATTTTTTAATCACTGAGTTAATATGAAAATTCCATTTTAAAAACTTATCAATCATGACCCCCAGATACTTCACTGATTCGGCACCTCTTACATTTACATAGTTACAATTACAAGTACCTATCACATTTATCTCTTGACATGAGTCATCATGTATTTTAATGGGTTCATAAATATCAAGATTTTTAACTTTTGATATGGAAAAGGGGATATAACATGTTTTATTAAAATTTATTTCAAGAGAGTTTGTATCAAACCAATTTTTAATAGATGACATAATTTTTGCTGCTTTACTCATTAAATTAAATTAATTTAAATCCTGAATCAGGATTGTAGTGTCATCAGCAAAACATAAAATAGAGCATAGAGCATTTATAGATTACTATTTATAGACAATAGGTACTCTAAATAATTAGAAACATATAGTTGTAATAACAGCTTAAAAAATTATATTTATTATTATTTATTAATAGTAGGTATTATCATTGACAATGTTTATTGATGAAAATAATGAAAAATAACATTTCATGTAGAACAGAAATTAGGCTTGTACCCATTTATAATGTTTGAATAAATTGTTTTTGTTACAATTTAAAAGTATTATTTATTTATTTAGTCTTGAGTACCAAATAGGTAATTTCTACTTCTAAAGAGTGAAAAAAAAAAAAAAAAACATTATACAAATTTCACATTAAATATGTTTGTTTATTGAAAAATTATTAAAATTAATTGATTAATATAAATATTAAAAAACAATAAAATACACTGTTAGCATATAAAGACTGTAAGTAAATGGCCTACATGATCAAAATTATTTAACTTTATCTACCTGCAATCTCTATGGTATGAATACTGGCATGAATTACAAGTTATGTAATTAGTGGCTCTTGGTATGCGGCACGTTGTTATTGATGTTAGTTCCAAAACAACGAATTTTTGCTTTCTTTTTTTGTTTAATACAATTTTCCAAGTTGGAAGGACGACCAGCTTGTATACGTTTAGCACCAGATGTTATTTTTCTTGTACGCCTTGCTCTGGATGTTGGTTGTGTGCCTATAAGTTTTCCACGACGAAGTCTGTTAAAAAATATATCAGGAAAATCTGATACTGTATTAATGGTGTCCAATAATTTGTTAAATTGTCTAAGATTTTTTAAAACCATTAAATTCCCATTATTTTGTGCCAAAGATGTTATACGGTTCATATTTACTTGAAGCTGGTCAATTTCTAAGTTGATGTTGGTCTGAACATCCAATTCATTTTGGTCACTGAATGAGACATTATCTGGTATTTCTGTAACTACAGTATGAAGATTTTTTGTAGTAGATTCACCTAAATCATTGGAATTTTCTACCATACTGGTAGTAGCATCATCTGTAGTTTCCATTGGCGTCATAAAAGAAGGATCAAAATTATTCCCAACTGCTAGATTCCCAAGAGTTATTCTATTTTCAGTTGATAAAATAGGAATGTTTTCTATGATAAAACCATTATAATGAATAGCACAGATATGCTTGCAAAACGACCCACCGCTGCCCACTGGACACTCACAGTGTTCATATCCATTATTCACTTGTACCATATATTCAACACCAACATTGGATGACGAGGTAACTAAATAACTGGTGTTGTTTACTTTAGTAACTATTAAGTTTTTAGCTTTTTCTAAAAATGACTTGTAATGTAATATAGGTTTAGTTACTCTGTATGTTGCAAACTTTATTAACCTTCTCTTGTGATAGTCCTCGAGAACTTTGAAAATAAAATCGACTAGTGCAGCAGCATTGAATGCTTTACATCTTTCGAGTACAACATCTTTAAAGATTCTAATAGAAGATTCTATGACATTATTTGTATTATGGCCATGTATGAATAAATGTTTTCTATAGCACACAGCCCACTCTTCCATTCGATTCTTAAGGAACGTCATATGTTTGGCAAACTGTACATTTTTGTCTTTACATAATTCGTCCATACCTTTTAAAGCTTCCGCTTCATTATGAGAAAATAATACTGATCTAAAGTGTAACATTTTTGACTGTCTATCAGCCTTATCTACACCATGTTTTGATTCCCAAAGCCATCTCCATAGTGCTTGACATATATGAAATGCGCATAACAACAATCGTGCAGATGGAAATGCTTCTTTTAAGGCTTGTCGTTCAGCAACACTATCATCAGTCATAATTACTGATGGATATAATTGTCCATCAAACGCAATATTACTTAAACATTTTTTTAATAGTGTGAAAGCATGAAAATAATCATTCTTTGTTTGATGTTTATGAATAATAACACCTAGTGGAATACCACCAATTTTTGATGAACCAAAAAAGAATGTAACACTAGAATTTCCTTGGTCACAAGATCCACTTGAATCCACAAAAACAATGTTTTTGGAAAATGAACAACATGTGAGCCCTCTTCATTATTGGAGTCACAATAGCAATAGCAAAAGGATTCTCAGAAATTTCTATATGTCCACCATCTTTTTCAAACATTGATTGCTTTTCACGGAGAATATTTACAATACTATCATTGGAACGATCACCAAAATGTGTAGTTCTAAAAAGTAGAAAAAATATATAATATAGGTAAATACCAATACTCATGCATTTGTAAAATAATGAGATAATGAGAAATAAATTAGTAATAGAAATATATTTCATAAATAGTAAGTGCCATGAACTACCATGAACTAAAAACAAAAAATAAGTGCGGTTATTTTAAAAATAAATTATTTTTTTATGTATATTTGTTATTTTTTTTAAAAAAAAATAATGTAGTTTATTTTTTGACTAGTCATTCAATGTGTTAGGTGAAACATAGAACTATGCACACAAACATAACACAATTACCTCAGAAAATTATTTAAGCTATGTCAAAAATGGTACAAACCTCCAATTTGCATACATATATTGCACTTGTCGTTCAGTTGGATTAACTTGAGCATTTGCAAGAAGTTTGATGAACTCCATTTCATCATATTCCTCATTTGAAGCTGTAAGCTGAACTTCATGATAAGATTTGGCAGCTGATGGAGTCATTCCATTATTAAAGTAGCTAATAAAGTTATCATGGATACCATCACTGACCTTCAAAAAACTATAAGCTTCAGCATTATGAAGTTTATGAGTATGTATGAATTTAATCTAAAAAATAAAAGAAAATACCAATTTTAAATACTAAAATCACTATAGAAATAATACACAAATAAATAGTACTATGTTCCAAATTAAAATTAATGTTATACCTAATTAGTTATCAAACATAGACGCCTATCTACTTAATTTAATTAAGTTGTTAAATTGTTATTCATTACCTATACATATTTATTTTATGTTTGGTTAATTTTGACTGATGCTATAATTTAACATTAATGTACCTAATCACAACATAATTATAGAAAAGTATGTGTCATCTATAAATTTCAAAATAGGAATAAATAGAAAAAACTGTAGCAAATGAAATTAAAATATTAACAACTTAACCACCTGTTGAAAAAATTGTATTAATGGTAAAACAAAAAAAGAAACAAATACCTACATTTTAGAACCATAAATACATATATTTTAAAATTAGATAGTAATACAAATCATAAAAAGTATTGTCGCATAGAAACCAATATAACAGGCTTTTGGGAAATGTTTCATGACTTAAGTTAAAAATATATTTAATTTTGAAATATTTATTGGAATAAATAAATTAATAAATATACCTATCTATATAATACTTATGTGATGTGTCTTTAACATTTCTAGCACAATATTAATATTGTCAAATATAATTCAAAAAATTGTGAATATTTTATAATAGTAGGTAGGTATACAATAATATTTTACAAAATAATATGTTTTAATATACTATATAGTATATAGTATATAGGCATAAAGCCAAATAGGTATCTACTTTTGTAATAATAAATACACATTTGTGTAACTTATACAAACAATACTTACATGCTATGATAAAAAATAGGTATAATTAAATTTATATTAAAGATAAAAAAGTAAGAAAAACTTAAAATACAAGTAATATATAAATTCATTCGTACCTACCTGTATTTCAGTATTTAGACCATCACGTTAATGCTTATCTCTTCTTCTAGTGTGCACTGTGTCCTTTTTAATAACAATTTTAATTGCAGCTTGGCATTGTTTGTTACGGTTTCTGGTTGTATGTATAGACAATTTTTTATTATTAGAAGAATGTTGACAAACGTAGTCTTTTCTGTACAAATAATTGGTTTTATTTGGAAAAGTACTCTTAACAATCCAATTGGTTTTTGAATTATTCGAAAATAAATTGATCCATTCATCACAAGCAAGGCTTATTGATTCAGGTTTTTGGTCAATTTTTGTACGAACAATTGCACTAAAATCGCTCAGATTTATAATATTACTTTGCACTATAACACATTTTGGGTCAAAATCAAAGTAATTAAGTTTGGATATCTTTAAACAAACACTTCAAAGTTCAAACACTTTACATGAAAAACCTAACAAAGTAAAAACTTGAAATGCCTTACTACAACAACCTGAACAACCATTGAACCATGAACCAATATTTTATTTATACATTTTATTTTATTTATAACCACGATTAAAGATATCTTTAATCGTGTTTATAACAATAATAAAGTCCAAAACATTGGAAAGTTAGGTTAGCTAATTCGGCGGTATATTTGAATTTATTGGCGGTAAATACATTTATTTTATCCATTTCAATTTACTTAGAAAACATTTTATTTTGCATATGGCATATCAGAGAATATTCAGTCTATTTTTCATATTTTAGAATTTATTATACATATTATTGTTCATAAGAAAATTATATAAATATGTTGATCAATTCTCGAGTTGTGATTTTGTCATTTTTATAATAAGGTGTTCGATTGCATGGATAATAAAAATATTAATTATTATATGCATATACACGCAACACAGTGGATCGCAACTTGCAGTCTTTAATGTGAAAGAGAGCGATTTGATTTCTCACTTCTGCTTGGGAAATGAGGGGTATTGTAGGGTTGTTTTGAAATAAAATAAATTTAAAAAAAAAAGGTGGGTAAGTGGGTGTCGCTCTGCTGTACACTAGGTTACAACTTACAAGTGAGTCACTGTAATGGATTGTGTTAAATTATAAGAATAATTAAAACATTTTAAGCTGTTATTAGTTTATTACAACTATATGTTTCTAATTATTTATATATATAGTACCTATTGTAGGTTATTGCAGACTACAGTATTAAAATGTTAGTTTATTGTGATTTACAGTTATCAGCGGTAAATAATAATAATAATAATAATTTCGCGCGTAATTCCAATAGGCCAATCAGAAGAGTGGATTTAATATCGTGGCTAGTTTCGAGGGATCACTACTAATTGTTCCACAAAATATTTGTTCCACACTATATTTGTTCCAACTACTATTTCATCCTAGTTTTACTATTTGTTCCACAATACACTTGTTCCGATTACTATTTATTCCGCAAAACATTATTCCGATGACTATTTGTTCCGCAAAATATTTGTCCCAATTACTATTTGTTCCACAAACTATATGTTCCACATTTGGCACAAGTAGTTTTTGGAACAAATAGTAATTGGAACAATTATTTTGTGGAACAAATAATACAGGCCCAAGTGTTCCTAACCGCTCCGCAAATCGAAAATATCCCCCGACTTGCTGTGCAACACCTCCCCAAGTGGGTCACAGGGTTGAGTAAATTGCATTTTTGTTGCACCGAGCCACCAATTTGAAAAAAACATCGTACAGTGATGCGGTGCTAGCGGCACTCGTCGCTACGCTCCTCGGCGCCGTCGCTCCGCTCCGCAAATCGAAAATATCCCCCGACTTGCTGTGCAACACCTCCCCAAGTGGGTCACAGGGTTAAGAAAATTGTTTTGTGGAACAAATAGTACTTAAAAAAAATAATTTTTGTTCCAAAAAAAATATTATTAAGATCCACAAATAATTTGTTCCAATTACTATTTGATCCGCAACATATTTGTTCCAATAATTATTTGTTCCACGAAATATTTGTTCCAATTACTATTTGTTCCAAAAACTATTTGATCCACATTTGGAACAAGTAGTTTGTGGAACAAATAGTAATTGGAACAATTATTTTGTGGAACAAATAATACAGGCCCAGTTTCGAGTAGGTATTGTTAATACGCGGCCCGGCCAATCGCAACGTTCAGAATGTTCAGATTCTGCGGCGGGCAATAACCGCGTTATCACTTCTTTTCTTATCATTTTTGAAATTTTCGAAATTTACACTTTTTACACGATTTCGACCGTTTTCTAGCCTTTTTCGCTCATAATTATATTTGATTCGCGTAGCTCGCGATCTCTCGAAGCTGCCGGTGTGCGGTTTATATCCGTTCGCCGTCCGTAGCCGTCGCAATGTCGATCGCAAAATACGCTCCCGGCCGGACTTTTTTGCCGATTTCTTTCGTTTTCTCCGACAGTTTCGTCTTTTCGCACGTCGTTCGTGCCCGAATCGTGTAGTTGACGTCTTTCTAAACCCGTTTATATGCGCCTTTCCCCCGAAATCGGTTCGTTCGCCTCGCAATCGCGTTTAGAAATTACGCCGGCGACCGACCGACCGTACGAGTATATAATATATATACATGTATATACGTGTATAATTTAATTTTTCCCTATGATTTAATAATTATTAACGGAAAACGCTTTTCACACGCCCCGTTAAATATATATATGGGAGATGCGCGTATTACAAGCGAATTATATGCGATTTAGCGATTACATCGATGTACATCGAATATATCGGTTTACGTCGCTCCGTAGACGCACGGCTTAAGTGTTGATGTTTTGACCGTGATTCACATCTCAAATTGTGTCCGAGTAGGTTAGGCGTTAGGTAGAAACCACGTAGGTCTCGGGTTCAAATCCGTCGTACGCCGTCCGGGCGTTGATACCGTCAATGCCATAAGATTTACACGGCCGCCCGATACCCGACTTTTCTTGCATTTTTTTTTCACTATATTTTTATACAGGAACATTATTATTAACTATTTAAAGTCATTGTCATATTATATCACACAATAAATAGGTACATATTATATATTTTGTTTTATTAGGAATTTAATTATTATAATTGCATATTTTTTAAAATTTCCACGATTGTTATATAAATATAGTTTGTATTTTATTTCGGATTGCCTACCTAGGTGGCTAACTTGAAAGTTAATCTTGATTTTGACTTGAGATAACTGACTTGCTAGACACTCCAACACGGTTTTCGACTTTACACTTTTTACATAAGAAAAGGCACCGGACATGCGAAGGCACTTACCACTCTATGTGATATACCTACTCAGTGGCGTAATTACGGGGGGGGGGATTTGGGTGTCGTATCCCCCCTCCTTGACCATTTTTTTTTTTTTTTAATCGTCAAACACATTTATGTACTAATTTTATTAATAATGTATATTTCATAGATAATACAAAAATCACCCGAATCTCCATAATATTATACAAATATATAATCATCCATCAATATTATCATATACAGTGTGATCACGATTTTAGGTACCACTGAATATCACAGATGGATGACTTTGTATTGAAATGGGGTTTTCGGGAGGTGATAGGGAGCACTTAAATACATATTTTCAGACCAGTTTCAAATTTTTAGCTCACTCGGTAGTCGGTACGCGCATGCCGCATGCGCAATATTACTTTTTTTTTAAATGGCAACCACAGTTTTTTCTGCAGATTCAGGTAGAGTATTTATTTTTGAACATTTATTGAACATTTATGCATAATTCGTGTTTAATGGTATTTTCATTTATAACCAGTTGAAATAATAAAATAAGGGCCAAATAAATGTTTAATGGCGGACGGAAATCGACCACAACCGACGCCTTAGTCCACTCAGCCACCCCCCCCCCCCACTAATCAAACATTTATTTGGCACTTATTTTATTATTTCAACTGGTTATAAATGCAAATTGCATTAAACACGTATTATGAATAAATCCAAAATTTGACTTTCTCTAACTTGGTCAGTTTTATAAATAGAAAAACTTTCAATACAAAAAATGTTTAAAAAAAAATACTCTACCCGAATCTGTAGAAAAAAAGTGGGGTTGCCATTTAACAAAAAGTAAGTCAAATTGCGCATGCGCATACCGAGTGAGCTAAAAATTTTAAACTGGTCTGAAAATATGTATTTAAGTGCTTCCTATCGGCTATCACCTCCCGAAAACCCCATTTCAATACAAAGTCAGACATCTGAGATATTCAGTGGTACCTGAAATCGTGATCACACTGTATATACAATATTAGTTATTACTAGGGGCTGGAATTATATTCTTTTAAAATAGCCAAAATAAGATGCTAATATTCTCTTAAAAAGTTGAAAATATTCTTCCAATATTCTTTAAAAATAATAATAAAATATGCAAAAAAAAATGCTTTTTTATTAAAATATTCTCTTGAACTAAAAATATGCATTTATATGCAAAATAATTAAGCAAATAATACGAACTCATATAAATAAATAGGTACATAATATGCAAAATAATATAAAAACCTGATATAAATAGGTACCTACATAATAAAAAATACTACTTGTTAAGAAAAGTTTGATTTAATATTTAATTATTTTAAATTTTTAACTAAGAAAATTTTTGAAAACAGTTGACAACTATATTTTGTTCCATGTTCCCTGATGTCATATTTGTACAACGGTCGGTTAAAATGTTTTTATATGTGCTATTTATATTATTTAGGCCACTGCAACAAAAAATATCGAACATCTACAAAAATTAATCGATATATTCTCTAATATTTTTTATTATACGAAATATTCTTTTATCTTGAAATATTCCCAAATATGCAAAATAAACTTTTGCCATTAACTCACCTGTTTCATGATTTGTAAAGATTTCGAACCCCCGTCTGACTGAATAGACTCAAAAAAAATATGCAAAAGAATATAATTCCGGCTACTAGTTATTACATACAGATCATAATGGTTGTATTCTTGTATTGAGGGGTGCTTATTGCTTATAGCTTATGCCTTATACGATTAAAAAAAAAAATGTTGAGGGGGGGGGGGGGTAATTGGTGAAATGTACATACATTTCATCCCCCCCCCCACAACCATGACCAAATTACGCCACTGTACCTACTATATATAGGTGATAGACAGATTGCTCATTTTAGTTTCGTCTTAAACGGTGATGATTGACTTGATAGACACTTTAACATGCAGGTTTTTGCATTTTTTTTTTTAAATTAATATATATACACTATAGTTACATGTTTATATGTATTGTATTGGTTAATATAATAGCATGTATCTAACTATCTACCTATATGTTAATTTTTTTTAGGAATTATAATTGCACATTTCTTAAAATGTTCATTGTTATATTATATCACACAATAAATACATATCATATTTGTTTGTATGTATATGTATATTGTATATAGTTTGAATTTTTCGTAAGTTGTGTGATAGGGTTTTCACTTATAGCCGCTTGATGTCGGGTCCGCAATCCACCGCAGGTGGATTGCCTACCTGATTTGCTGTAGCACATTGTCCGCGATCCGACGAAGTCGGATTGCCTACCTAAGTGGCTAACTTGAAAGTTAATAGATTTTGACTTGAGATGACTGACTTGCTAGAAACTCCAACACAGTTTTCGACTTTACACTTTTTACATAAGATAAAGCACCGGTCATGCTACGGCACATACAACTCTATGTGCAGGTATACTCTATATAGGTGATCCTGGATATCATATCCAGCCTATCCATTTACAACGTTTGTGACGGATTGCTAGCCTCTCAAACTCTTAACATTCCCGCCAAAGCGTCTAGCCTTATCTCCAATCCACAACACTAATCCTTATCACAAATCCTAAACTTTCGTCTTACAACCTTTGCGACTTTTTTAATTCATTGTCTCCAAAATCGGTACCCACTCCCAGCGAGTCCAACGGGCCCCGAGTTACACTTAGAGCTAGTTGTCGTATAAAATAAGAAATATTATACGAATAGAAGATAATACAAATAATGAGCGACATATCAAGTTTGATTAAGTGCCGCGGACAGCTGAAGGCGGCCGTAAAAAGATTTTTAAATTTTGTAACGAAAGAGAACGTAGACGTAAATGAGATATACATAAGAAAAGAGAAAAAAGAAGAAACCTGGAGCGAATATGAGCGAATCCAATCTGAAATAGAAGAGACTGAGGGCGTAGAGATGGACGAACAAGATAAATATCGAGAAGAGTTCGAAGAAATGTTTTTTAAGGCAGTAGGAATAGCCAAAAAATTGACGGAACCAGTGTTCAATGAAAAAAAAGTGCAACCATACCGTGGTACTGATGAAGACGGAACGTGCGAAGGGAATTACCGGTCAATAGAAGCGACGACCGATATTAAAGATAGTGGTCGAAAAATCTCGCGTCCACCGATAAGATTATCGGCGTTGAATGTGCCGACGTTTTCTGGCGAATATAACGAGTGGGCAACATTCCACGATATATTTACATCGTTAATCCATAATAACGAGGATTTACCTCCAGTTGAAAAGTTTTTTTATTTACGTTCCGCGGTGACAGGTGACGCGCAGAATTGTATTCGATGTATATAGAGACTACATCAAGCAATTATGAAATAGCATGGAATAAATTAAAAAAAAGATATAGCAATAAAAAAGTATTGGTACAAACACATGTAAAGGCAATGTTTGAATTAGAACCAGTCACATCCGAATCGTCGGCAAAATTGCGACAGTTTACGGATGCGTTAACCGGTCATATGAGCGGCTGCATGTTACTTGCGTCCCAAAAAAAGATATATTTTACAGGTAGTAAATTTGACCGGTAAATTGCGTCCCGTTTTGGGGACGCAAGTCAGCCATATAATTATTATCGATATTGTCTTCTAAAATCATTAAAATCGATAGTATCGTGTTACTAAAATCGATAGTTCATAAACTGTACCGTATACATGTGTGTGAGTGCGTGCGTTACTTACTTACAATGTAGATACAATTTATCTATGATAGGTACAATATTGAATATGATAGTATATTCTATTAATAACTTAAAAGGGTATTATTTTATGTGAAAAGATATGGGAACATGTATACAACTTGTTGGTTGTTAGATTCGATAAGATAAAGCAATTACGTCGATAATTGTTTTTTTTACTCGCATTATATTTTCACATTTTACTTTTATTCAGTACGATTCGTCTTATAAGACCAATAGTTGTGAAATAACCACTCATCAAATTAAAAAAAATTAAATAAGTTAATTTAATAAAATACCTACGATTTTTTTTAAGCTATGGAAAAAATGTGTAGCTCTAAATTGGTCGCAAATAATGGTTTTAAAATAATTGATGGTTATAAGTTCGGATATCATAAAATGTTATGTAATAACAATTTTCGATGGAAGAGCACGAATAAAAGCTGTAAAAGCTATATGAAAATAGATGTTCATCAAAATGTAATAAGTAATCCTACTTCACATACTCCATATCACACTCCAGACGACATCACTCTATATTATTATTATTATTATTACTACCATGACAAAATATAAAACATATGAATTTGTAATTTTATAAGTTTGAATTTTTTAAAAAAAAGCGTGAAAATTGAATATATACTCCTGAAGTTGATAAATATTCGTTCAACTTTTATAGCTAAGGATTGAAATATACTTAGTAATATCATAGGCTGACTGACCGTTTTCGCACAGAATAGTTTTTTTTATACTTTTTCTTTTTACATTTTTATATCGATTATATCGATATTTTTGTGACGCAATTAAGTCATAAAAAAAGGTGTACTGGGACGCAAATCGGCTATGACCTTTTTGATTCTTTTTTTTTGCGGGACGCAACTCACCTACTGATAATAATTTCGGACGCAAGTAGTATGCTCCCATATGAGCGCACTAGAAACGTTAGGTCACACACCTAATAGTTGGGGGCCCTTACTAGTGCATTTAATAGTAACAAAATTAGATAGAAATAGTAGACGTGAGTGGGAGACGATTACGGCTAAAGAAGAAGTAGCACCGGTCGAAGTATTAATTGAATTTTTAGAATCGCGATTTAAAATATTAGAAGCAATCGAGACGTGCAAAAATATAAATATTCGACAAGGTGCGTACAAATTTAATAATCATAATAAACAATTGAATGAAAAGTCGTCGTCACTAGTTATAGGAAATAATAAAGGTTGCTATATTTGTCAAGCGCCCCATACCATTTACAAATGTCCGATATTTATCGCGTTACCAGTTACAGAAAGAATAAAAAGAGTAGCCGAAATTAAATTATGTAAAGTGTGGATACGACAGCACGTACCGAAAAAGTGTAACGGTAAGAATTGTTTTACTTGTTCTAAACCGCATAACACAATGCTACATCTTGGTAATAGTTCAGAGTTAAGAAAGTCGGAAGCAGAAAAACTGTCTGAAGATCAAGAAGCGACAGCAGCGGTTAGTGTACACGTAGCGGCTAGCTCGAGTGACCAGGTATTATTGTCAACGGCGGAGGTACGAGTTCAAAACGAGAGTGGCGAATCACAAATCGGACGTGTATTGTTAGATTCAGGTTCACAATGCAATTTTATAACCGAAAGTATGGCACAAATATTAAAATTAAAAAAGACGCGCGTACAGCATACCGTATTGGGCATTGGCGGCAAAAGTCAAAAAGTGAAGGCGGCTGTCGTAGTGACGATTCGTTCGCGCATTAATAATTATAATTTAACGTGTTCCTGTTTAGTTGTGCCTAAAATTACAAATATATTACCGTCAGAAAATATCGGAGGTGAATGCATAGTGAATCCGAGGGGATATAGAATTAGCGGATACTTCATTTAAAATTCCAAAAAAAATTGATTTGTTGTTAGGCGCGTGTCATTTTTTCGAAATATTGGGTAAACAAAAAATTAAACCGACAATAAATGGACCAATATTTCAAGAAACTCAATTGGGCTGGATTGTTTCCGGTTTAGTAACATCAAAATATACGAATGGCAAACCAAATAATGTAAATTGCCATACCGCGTTAGTAGAGGAAAACAGAAGTACTAATTTGGAAATTATGGTATCAAAATTTTGGCGTACAGAGGAGTTTGAAGCGGCAGTGCCATATACTACGGAAGAAAAAAAATGTGTCGATCACTTCGAAAGGACAGTTAATCGAAATGAAAACGGTAGGTTTATCGTACATTTACCGTTAAAAAATGACGTTAATATAAAAATCGGACCGTCATACGAGATAGCGAAACGTCGATTTTTAGCATTAGAGCGCCGATTGCAAAATGACGAAAAATTAAAAAAAGATTATATTACGTTTATGGGCGAATATGAAACGTTAGGTCATATGGAACTCGTAAAAAATGAAGAAAAGTTAGGTGAAACGTGTTATTTACCGCATCATGCGGTAAAAAATGAGAACAGTAAAACAACGAAGTTGCGAGTAGTGTTTGATGCGTCCTGTAAAACGGAATCCGGATATAGTTTAAACGATACACACGATACACTATTGAAAGGGCCGGTTATACAGGACGAACTGCTATATATAATATCAAGATTTAGAACACATAAATTTGTATTAACGGCCGATATACAAAAGATGTACCGCCAAGTATTGGTGACGAAGCAAGATAGCGAGAAACAACGAATTTTATGGCGCGCGGACCCCTCATTGCCAATACAAATTTATCGTTTAACAACACTTACTTATGGAACAGTACCGGCGTCATTTTTGGCAACAGCATGTTTAAGGAAAATATCTGAACTAGAATCGTCATATGTAAAAGCTTGTGAGGCAATTAGAAACGATTTTTATATGGACGATTTCCTAAGTGGCGCGGAAACGAAGGAAGAAGCGATAAAGTTACGTGACCAAGTAATTTTAATAATGAAAAAAGCAGGCATGACGTTAAGAAAGTGGTCATCAAATGAACCAAGTATAGTTAGTTGTATGTCAGAAAAAGAAAATGCGAACGAGTGTATTTTTGAAGAAGAATCAATAACGAAAATAATCGGACTGTATTGGAATGCGGATGGTGATGTATTACAATACAAGGTAAAAGAATATCATGACGAAAATACTACAATAAGTAAAAGACACATTTTAGCCGAGACCGCGGCGATATTCGACCCGATGGGACTGGTAGGTCCAATTATAGTACAAGCAAAATTAATAATACAGAGCTTATGGCAAATTCGTATTAGTTGGGACGAGCCATTACCAGATAACATACGTATAGAATGGGTCAAATATAGAAAAGGTTTATCGATGTTAAACAAGCTGACCATACCACGTAATATCGGGTGTAATAAAATATTAACAAATATACAAATACACGGATTCGCAGACGCAAGTATCAAATGTTACGGAGCGTGTATTTTTTTACGTAATTTTTTTTAACGAACCCGTGACGTTAGAGTGTGCTGCAAATCAAAGCATCCTTCCACGACACTGGCTAAATTAACAAGACCTTGTCCTTGTAATTTCTGGTAAACGGTCACTTTGTACGGTCCATTGTTCAAAATGTACAACGCGGACACTTTGTACTATTATATACATAAAGTATATATATTATAAATATAAGTTATATACCTAGGTTAGCAAGTAAATAATACTATATATTATATATGACAAATTTTACTAAAAATGTTATAAATACATTTTATATAATCTGGGGAATCTCATGGGTACATCGATAATGGTGCATTTTGCAATGTTATAAATGCATTTCACTAAGACACTGTCATATTATACATGTAGGTTTTAAAGATTTTTTTAAATATTAAAGAATGGAAATTTGATATTTTTAATTATTAATATAAATTAATATTATTTCAATGACCCACTGTTAAGATTCCACACACAAGGAAAAGTGTGGCTGTCTAGCCACGAAGAGGCGGTGTTGAGCGCTTGCTACCGTCGCTGTTTGTGACCACGTCCCAGGCGGGCGTAATGGGTTTCTGGCGGCTGGAGACGAGGGAGCTGATCAAAAAATACAAGGCCCGTATGAGATCAGACACTCCGAACTCGGAAAAAAAGCTCAAGAGATTGGATATGAGCACACGCCCCGTGAGCATTATCTGCCCGTAGAAATCACTGCCGCCAACTTCGACCCATCTGGTGGGCTGCTCGTCACCGGTGCGATGTGAAGTGGTAGATCCGGGCACTTTTCGTCATGTAGTTTCCTCTTGCCTTTTTTACCTCGTATGTCACGTTGCTGTCTCAGCAGTTCTAGTTTGTCCCATGTTGCTGCAGGTGACCGTAAACTTGAATTGACGCCGTCCTTCAAAACTTGAAACGTAGTGAATGAAGCTATTGCCGTTGGATGTCTGCAGGTATCTTAAATTGTAAAACGTTTACCGGGCGGGTTTTTGATATGTGTGGCCATGTAATCCCTAAAAATATAATAATGTATACATATTTTTATTTAATATTTATTTACTGTTTAATCACAGAAATAATTTTGAATTCGGTTTGTTGGACATGGAAGTAGAATCTGAGCAAAACGTTTCTCTGATAGTCTGATTTAAATATTTTTAACTTGTATCTAATGCATTGTGTTGTGTATAACTTAAATGTACCTATTCTTCGCACGCACAACACATATTTTTAATCGAGAAGCCAAGAATTTCTATTTTAGAGACTGTTAAGAGGACCGATGAATGGATTGGTTTCATAGTAAATTATGTATGTTTTTTTTTTGTGTTTATCACAAATAAATAGCTTCAATATCTTAAACTTTGAGGATGATGTATGCCCTATAGTAACAAAATTGATCTAGTTTAATGCATTTTTAAGTGGAGGGGATTGTGACATAAGTTAAAAGAGTCAATACTTTGTAGTTAAAAATAATTAGGAGAAACAAAAAACAAAATTAGGAAAACGGGAATTAGTATGCAAGATTTGTACTAACTATTCATATTAAGTAGGTATATCGGAATTTACTGTATAATGTAGGACGTAGGTGGTAGGTATATGAAATGGATTTTATATAATTATATTTTGGCTCTTTTGTGCTAAATATTTAATAGTATTTATAGATATTTGAACTTTGAATTTGTTTGGTTTTTTTTTTATTTATGTATGATTAAATTGTTCCTTGTACGAGTTGTACTTATATTCAAATTTATCCAAAGTGTTTTAATCCTCATAAAACGTATTGTTCTTATAGATGTAAAAAAAATATCGAAAATACACAGTCAAAATGGTTTATAAGCATTTAAAGTTCAATTTTTTACGAAATTTGTCAAAACATGAAAATACATATTAAGTAGTATTGTAATTAAAAAGTCGTATAATTTTTATTTGATTGGTGCTTATTACTTATTATTGCGGCTACAGACAGTATACCATCTTTAATCGTACTTGTTATTACATTACATTTATTATCTTGTAAATAAAATTATTAATCAAAAATATAAAATAAAACGTAAAAAAAAAAAAATACAAAAATCAACTATAACGTTAATTTTTTTTGAAATTTCCGGTTTTGTTGAATGACCGGTTTTTAAAAAAAAAAGATTACCGTTACACGTTACACCTTAATTAAACTTGGTGGTTACCGGTAATTGTTAACCGCTTCTCAAAATTTAAACTTACAACTGGGAAGCGGTTACCAGACACCGGTAACTGGTTTAAAGCCCTGCATTCTTTCAATCCGGTCAGTATCTAAAAAGTAAAAAAACACTGGTGCAGGCTGCTCAAATGATAAATTAATTTAAAGCTTAGCAGTAGGTATTACATTTTTTGTGAGCGATTTAAGTTAGAAACAATATCGGAAATGTTCAAGTAAAATAATGATCTCCTAAACGATTTTTTTGTATTTCTTGTAATTCAAAATATATAAATTGAGGAGATATAAAACATTCAACTAGGTATTACATAAGCTATTGTTTTTTTATACATAATGACATTTTCAAAATATTTAGATTAATTTTTATAATATAAAACTTATCTATTAGGGAATAAAACGTAATGTTAACCGAAACTGAGATCTTGTTACTTAAAGAAATATAAGATCCTATTCATCACCACGCCCCTCATGGTATATATATATTCATAAGGTCAACTACCTTCTCCAGAAATCTAATATTTAACTAATCCCTCCCTAGCCACGTTACAGTACTAATCATATCGTAAAATTGACCACAATGCACTTACCCAAAGTTCCTACGTAATGACCAGCCAACGTCCACATACGTATCATCTTGTCCACACTGCTACTGACTACTAGCTCCAATTTGTCGATGTATTCGACGTGACTGATACGTTGCAAGTGTGCCCTGTACGCACTGACCAATAGTGGACCATCCATGTTCTTCGAGGCAGCACGTTCGGCTCGACCCATGAAGAACGTATTCATTAGGTACGGAAAACGCAGCCTAAGAGATGGCATGTCCATTCTGTAGATCGTGTGTCTCGGCTGTCCAAAGTTGGTCACTATCCACGTCTTGATGTAGCCGCTTTCGAAGCTTGTGATCAAGTATTCACTCTTATGGTCAGACACCATCGAAGTGACGTAATCATCGGCAATGTGTATGGCCATGAACTGGCTAACGTATTTGGGCTCTTTGTACGTGCACCATATCTGCACCACGCCATTACGTGTGGCCACGAGTAGGGGTTCCGACGTTTGAGTCTTCTGGCCGGGCCCGCAGGAAGTGTGTGGCGACTGCCGCGTAATGCTCACGGGGCGTGTGTTCAATATCCAATCTCTTGAGCTCTTTTTCCGAGTTCGGAGTGTCTGGTCTCATACGGGCCTTGTATTTTTTGATCAGCTCCCTCGTCTCCAGCCGCCAGAAACCGTGGCCTGGGACGTGGTCACAAACAGCGACGGTAGCTT